GATTCCTTACCTCCAAAATGACCTCCCACTGAAGTATAATCCGGATTTCTTCAAGTCTCCTTGATCCAAGCTTCTTGATCTTCAAGATCCCTGCACAAATCACTCCAATTTGCTTCCAAGGCTTCTCACAAACGAAATTAGGGTTTCTGGATCTCGAAGGGGGCTAAGGGGGCTGAGGGGAGGACATTAAGTCCTTTAAATAGGGTGCAAACCCGAAGATTAGGGCTTTTCCTCATCCAGTACCGACTCGTCGAGTCCAGCCGCCGACTCAGCGAGTCAGGACACTTAATCACGTGCCCGACACTCGCTTCGACTCGGCAAGTCAAGAGACCTACCCGCCGAGTCCCTTCCTTTATTTTCGTATAGCACCCTTCAACTTCTTGCTTCTGAACTTGGGATGTTACAGGGCCTTTGAGCTTTTGGGCCTCATTTGGTTATTAGGCTTGGTGGTAATCTTGGAATTATAGGCTATATCATTCGCTATGGACCATGGACATATTGATTGGGCCTTATTAGGCCAAGTAGCCCATTAAGGACTTTGGACTTGGACTTTGGGCCCAATAGCAAGGGATAATTGGGCCTTATGGAAGGGTTGGGAGTTTGTGTCTCCCGTGGTTATTCAAAATCCTAACATTATTAATTTTATTATTCAGCACCAAAGGTTGCAGACTGTTAGTAGAGCAGCTTTTGTATTCAGCAGACGAAGGGTGAGTCTTCTCACCATACCAATGGGTCTAAGGCGCCAAGGCCAGCCCATTTTTTACTATTTGGTATATTTGTTATGTAGAAGAGTGTGTGATACGTATGTATGTATGATATGCAGTAGAGGTAGCCTTTGTGGCTAATGGTAGAGAAAGCCTTATGGTTGATGGTAGAGATAACCTTGTGGCTAATGGTAAAGATAGCCTAATGGCTAATGGTAGAGATAGCCTTTGTGGCTAATGGTAGAGATGGCTTCTAAAGCTAGTTGATATGTGATATGTGGTAGTGGTAGCTCGTATAGCTAATTGATAAATATTTCATGGTAAAGATAGCTTTTATAGCTAATATTATATGGTCATGTGGATTGTGTGTGTGTGTGGGGGGGGGGGGGTATTCTCTAGGGGACTCACTAAGCTTTGCGCTTATCGTTTGTGGTTTTGTTTCAGGTACTTCTGAACCCAAGGGCAAGGGCAAGGCGTAATGGCGCGGCGTGCACTCTGTCTTGTTTCATCTTTATGTTTTTGGGGACACTTTGATGGTTTCTTTTAAATTTGTAATGAAAATGAATTTGAAAACAATTACGATTGGGATTTTATGACTTATGTGAAATCGATTGGCTATTTTTAAAATGAAAAATTTATCTCAAAATTTTTGGGTTGTTACATGGCTAGTGTGGAGGGCTAAAGACTAATATTGAATATTTTGATAGGTGGGTTGTAGCACCGGTTCCTTGATTAGTTAGATCTGTGGTTGATCCCATTCGAGTGTGAGGTAATTCTTCTCACTATACTATATAGGATGCTAGTTGTCTTTGTGATTCTTACATGTATGTCGGGGCAGGGGCCATTATGTTGGGCATGGCCCGTTATGTTGGGTGGGACTTGTTATGTTGGATAGGACCCAATATGTTGGGCGGTGCCCGTTATGATAGTCGGGCCCCGATGTGATGTATGGTATGTGGTATTTTGGGGAACTCAATAAGCTTTGTTTTACGGTTTTGTAGTTTAAATGTTTTAGGTACTTCATGTTTGAAAGGGAAGGGTCCGACTTGATCACACTGCATCCCCTTGAGTTTATTTTCGCATTATCTTTTTATGACTCACTACGATATTTGAGAATACATTGCACTTGATTGTCTTTTGAACAAATGCATGTATGTTTTTGGGTTTCTTTAAAAATGAAATTTTTATTTGATATTTTAGGGATGTTACAAAAATACATAATTGAAATATTTTATTAAAATTCAAACAAAACTAAAACATATTAAAATAGTATCTCACTCCTCACCGTCAGTCATAACTTCGTCAAAATCCATGCCCGAATCATCTTCAAACATGTCTGAATCTTCATCTATATCGTTGTATGAATTGCCAATGACGAGATTTAGATTGGTATTGAAGATCAGCACGAAGGTTGTAGTGGCCAACACATTTGTATATTTCCCCTTTGTTCTCCATGTATTTCGGCATACCAATATATACTCCTTCGAATATTGGTAAATCACATTTTCATTGTAATGACAAATCATTTTTCCTTTATCTTCTACAATCATATTATGCAATATGAAGCATGCATACATCTTATTATGTATTCTTGTATGCTTGAATGATCGTGTTAGGACTATGAGTATTAGCCAACGTCTCTTTAGAACACAAAAGGCTCGTTTGAAATCCTTCCTAGCTGATTTCTGGCCCGCCTTAAACTTTAATCATTTTTCGTCATTTGGACACGAGAATAATTTCATAAATGTAGGTAACTCAGATAAACTTAAACTCTATAATTTTAACACACCATTATATAATAAAAATGGGGTTTTACCAAAAAAAAATCTTTTAAATAATCGATAACAGAGTTCTCAACTTTCAGTGATACAAACTAATACCAACAACCATAGTTAAGAGAAAAGGATTTCACAACCTTCTCTGAATCCATCATGATCATTTCTTCTAGCATCATATTCTAACTTCAACATCCATAACTGAGTACATAGTAGAAAAACACATAAGTCTGAAGACACCTGAGCTGCATGGATTTTACCCAATAAAATAATCTAGTACTCATTACAAAACTCTTATAAACATCTAGTAAGTCATACATGTTCACTTAGAGAATTTCACATACAATACTAGCACAAATCTAGTTTACAATGCAAACCTAACAAATATGGGTGCCCACATAAAGCTAATTGTATAACTTGGCTTTGGAAGAACAAATAATTTTGTGTCACTTGGGTAAAATAAATTGTTGTGATTTCCCTCATGGAAACCTTATATCATGTTGTCGTGATTCCCCTCATGAGAACCTTATAGCAATGTTATCTTGATTCCCCTTATGGGAACCTTGTAACAATGTTTCCCCCTATAGGACCGGGTAGCCGTATCACCCCTCACTAGAGATTTACAACTATATTTCCCTCATCGGAAACTTATGCCAAGTTCCATCACATTGACCGTTGGGATCTATGCCTGTCTCGAGGCTATGACATATTGCTCGTCACCTAGTCCATTGGAGTAACACATAAAAGGCATTCCATGTCTTTTCGCATATAGCTTTCTATAAAGCTTCTAGCATACATTCACATAGAATCTCGTACCAACAACTTTTCATAAATTTCATAATTACAGAGCTTAACTATATCTTTAGTACTCACCATTGGAGTACAATATATTCTCACTCACATAGTAGGCATTTCATGTCATTTTTACACGTATAGCTTTTATATAAACTTCTAATACACAAGAACACTTATAGATTTTTATAAGCTTTTGATACACATACACACTTATAGCTTTTCATAAGCCTTAGATACACATACACTTATAGCTTTCCCAAGTTAATATATGTACACACTACTCATATAGGCTATTTGTCAAACATATCAATTAATCAATTACATAGCTGCAGAGCTTAACCAAAGCTCTTGTTGCTCAATCGTGCATCATATTGTCTGTTAAATTCATAAAACTATTAGCAATTCCTTTTTTTAAATCATTTAAACATTTGGCATGCTTATACTTTCTAAAATATCCATTTTTATAATCATACAGATTAGGGATTTACGCTTTAAAATGCTTTGACACCAAAACATTATCATAAAACCAAGCATAGTCACACCTAGTAAATTACTTGCACGTTTTCACATATTATCAAATACTTTTCTATGTACCCAGAAAGTCAACATGTACTCACCTGGCTAATTAATGAGACTAATTATTGTCGTAGCCTCACGCTTAGCACTGCTTTCCAACTTACCACCTTACGCAGACCTATTAGGTAACATACCAAGTTCCTTCGAACTTGTATAAATTTACTAGCATATCTACCTGGATGTTGATTTTTTTAACCATTAACTAAACCTGGTAACCGTTTGTTATCAAACTCATCAAGTCTCATAAAAAACGGCTTAAACCCATAAATTTTTAGCTTGATCACTAACTATCGGTCATCACGTAACTTGGAGTTTATAACCCTTGCTAACCGGATTAAGAATCCCAGTGTGGAAATCAACTATCAAACTTACCATTGAGTTCATAATAGCACCATATTACAAATCCTATTAACTAACTTGGGTTTTTAATAACGTTTACATGATTACATTACATAAACATAATAATAGAATAAGAACTAACTGATCTTGTTCGGTGTATCGCATCCTCGTAATCAGTATTATCATACGCTTTTCTTAGCTACGAATTATCACTCAACATTCGAGGTATTAATCGGGAAACTGTATCACCGAGACTTATGATCAGATTCGAGACTTAAGAAGAGTATAGATAAAGCTTGGAGAAGGTTCAAGGTTAATCTAGCGTTAACCCTTAAGGTGAGTACAAGTGGCTTTTTCTCAACTATGGAGTACATGGAAAAATAACTTGTTTTGATTAAAGTTTTATATGCAAGTCTAGTTTTGTAAATGCTTGGAATTGTTGAATGATTTATAGTCTTGCTAGTTGTTTTGAGTTTTGTAAACTATATGAGTTTACATTTGAACTAGAATGTTTTTCAATTAGCATGAGCGTGTTGTTTGCTTGACTTGCATAAAACAAAAGTAGTGTTCATGCATCCACCTACAAAAAATTGATATGGGTAAATAGTTAAAGATGTCCTAACGGATCCAACCAAGACCCGGCAATTCGTGTCATGAAAACGTGTCAGCCACAAATTTGACACGATATGATTACACGATGAGAAATAAGTTTTATCTCAACTTTCAAGATGTATCCGTGTCGTGTATTCGTGTCTCTCACAGATTCGTGTATTCGTATCTGGAATTATCAGGTCTAAATTTCAAACTAAGGTTGTTAATACCGAGAAATATCATTTATATATACACATTCTAATAAGAAGCATAACAAAGTGACAAAAAAGATCACATAAATACAAAATACACATCATAAATATTTCACTCATCACAACAATTACCATGTTCAACCATCACTTACAACATGATACGCACTTTATCATTTGTTGTTAAGTAACTTTAAAGTTTTTATACTTTAAAATATTACAATAATTGATCCAAGTATGAGTCTTTGGAAGTAGAAGATTTACCATGTCCTTGTCCAAGATACACATTAACCATGTTGGTTCCCCAAGCCATCCATCCTCCTTGATTCTCATCATTTTCAACCACACGCCTTTGTTCCTCAGCAGCTATATTAGCAAGCCGCCAATTGACCATAAAGCCCTTCACAGCCTCAGTTCCTTCCATTACAATCTCCATTGGAGGAACTACAATCGGGTTCTGATCTAAGTTTAATTTGGTCAGATTCTGAAGTTGACCGAATGATTCAGGAAGAGACTTGATTTGGTTGTTACTGAGATCAAGTTCTTTGAGGTTTTTAAGGTTTGTAATTGTGTCAGGTAACTCTGTCAAATTGCTGAAGTTACTACTCAAGTTCAATACCTCAAGATTTGACAGTTTCCCAATTGAAGATGGAAGGCCATGGAGTTTGTTGAAATGCGCATCTAGGTATTTTAAAGATTCTAGTTCACTAATGGTAGTTGGAAGGAAACGGATTTCGTTGAGGCTGATTGACAGGATTTTGAGGCTTATTAGTCCAAAACCGAAGTTTGTTGGCAAGAATATTAGGTTATTGAAGCTTGCATACAATTCTTCCAATGATCTGTTGATGAATTGAGAATTGAGATATAGATCATATAATATAGTTGAAAGTTGAAAGAATTACTTGCAAAAGGCGATGCTTTCTGGAATGGTGTTGAGCTTGTTGCTTGAGATGTTTAAGATTTTGAGAGATGTCAACAAGCCGATGGAATCTGGCAATGATTCTAAAAGATTGGATGAAACATCAAGCTTCTCTAGTTTCACTAATCCTGCAATTGAATCAGGAAGCACCTGTTTGACGACAAAAATTGTAAAAATTTGGATGAATCCAGAAAGAAATCAAGAGTGAAAGTTCACCAGAAAGTTAACTTGGACATTTTAACAAACAGGTTGAAGGTATGAACAAGGCTTAATATAATTTAGAGGATACGAAAGCATAACAATCACGATTCGATCAGAACTCAAAAGATTCGTAGATATAAGGAAGAATTGGACATAAAGAATCAAAGGAAGAAGTGAAAAAGAAACCTGTAAGTGATTATTGGAGAGATTGAGATGAATTAAACTGGAAAGCTTGCCAAATGCTTCGGGAAGAAACCTTAACTGTTGACTAGAGAGGTCAACGATATCGATGACCTCCTCCGATGCCTGCTTCAGTATCTTGACAACTTCTTCGTTGGCTTCATCTGATCCATCGTCGTTATCATTCACAAGATCATCCATTTTTTTTATAATTTTGATACAATTGTGAACTCAATCAAGCTCTGATCCCTGTCGCTTTTACTTATGGCGGTCTTTGTAGAGAATTCGTCAAACATTTGACTTTGACACTGGCGGGCCTCAGTTCACATGCTTCTTAACAAGTTCGAGATTTCGAAGTTTATCCAAAAAAAGAAAAAGTACGAAAGAAAACATAAAATCTAAATACAAGAAATATCTACCGATTGTTTATTTCAGTCGTTTTTTCTCTCTTTATCTCCTTTCTCACTGTAAAAAACAAGAGTGAAGAAAAACCACACAAAACACTCAATTATTGTTTTGATTAACTCCTGATACAATAGTAAAACATGGGAAGATACACGTGGCTCATTACAAATCTATTTGTAATTATGTATAATTGTACATGGTGCTTTTTCTGGTTTTCTTTCATAAAATTGCACTTACTCTTTATTTAGTTTTTATGAAAACCAAGAGTTCCATAAAATTCCTTAATAAAAAACCTCCATCAATTTTGGGCTCCTCTTGTAAGATGAGTGTATTAAAATTAGTCGGTATTATCAGGTCCGGCCCCAAAATTTCGAAGATTCTGTCCAATTTAAGGCCCTAAAACATAGAAAACCTAAAATTTAAGCAAACAAATTAGAATTTTTCATATTTTATTGCAAAATACCAAGGTTCTAAAAAATTCGTCATTGCGTGTCATGGTTCCAAGGCTTGTACATACCGTCAAGCTTTGCCAAAACGCCGCCTTAACTTATATATGTGTATAAAAATGAATAATAGTTGAAAATACATATAAAAATATTAATTATATAGAAAATTGCCGCCTTAAGTCACGCCTTACAAACGTTGTGACTCGTCAAGGTTCGGAAAAGCTTGAGGCTTGACATTGTCGCCAAGTTACGTCTTACGTTGTTTAGAATATTGCAAAATACTCCAAATAAATTAACATTTCATTCAATATAAATACATAAAAAAATAAATTTGTTTCTACACCAAAACAACCATCATTCTATTAATCATTGAAACTCAAATGCAAACTATAACACCTCTTTCCTCTGAAAAAACTATAAAAAAACAAATGAAATCAGAATGCTATAATCAGAAAAGAAAAACAACACCTTCTAACTTGCAAGAGTGCAAACATATCTAAAATTAGAAACCTCTAAACCTTAAAGCTGGATTGAAAATAGACAGATTGTTCCATCAATTCTTATGAATTCTAGACAACATAAAACAGTAAGAATGAAAAAAAAAAAAAAAAACCTAGTTTACTTCTACACAATATAAGAACCCTATCAGTTTATCAGATTGATAAAAAAAATGTACAATACCTTTGATTTTTTACACTTCAAGAAAATCTTAAATAAAAAACTTCTAAAACTCAAAGTTGGATCAGTAAGCTGATTATTTCTTCAATTTTATGAGTTTAAGAAAACAATAATTACAAAGAACAAATAAATACTTCTAAACATCAGAAATATACCAGATAGATAAATATATATATATATATATATATATATATATATATATATATATATATATATATATATATATATATATATATATATATAAAAGACCTTTTGATTTTCGTCCCTAGACCTGATCCAAGATTCTGATTTTTAAAACCTCACTTATGATTTCAGTTTGCTTTAGATTATTGAAGCATGGCTCCGAATTCCGATTCACTAATTTTTTAAGATTTATGAACAATGAATTAAGAAGAAAGAAGCATAAACTGAATGCTTTGATTGAGTTATATCCTTATTATTATCGAGGATTGTGGAGTAGAACATTGTTGCTGCCAGCCATCGTCAACTTGTTCTTGTCTTCCCGATGCGTAAATCGTAATCATCATTATCGATAACCAAAACATCGTTTTCTTTTCCCCAAATGTTTATGATTCCCGCTCATCTAATTTCTAATTCTCTCGTTGCCCTTGCATCGTTTCCTTTATATTCTGATACATCGTACATGGCCAAAAAACTGAAAATATCCTAATATAAAATCTGAAACAAAAAAAAAAAATAGGGCCTAGATTTTAATAGGCCTTTTTCTTAAGCACACCTTGAACACTCTTTGGGCCGGTTCTGAGTATTACTCTAGTAAATATATGTAGTTAGAGCCTTAGAGGATTAATTATTCGAAAATAAAATAAAATACCCACCCTTTTTCACTCTATGTACAACAAAATAAAGTATAGGAAAAGCTTGGAATTTTGACCACCCTTTTTGACAAGTTAGTAGCTATATCCTTATATTAATCGTTCATTTTAATATTTTTAAAGTTATCTAATGTTATTCGTTTTAACATTATTAAATGTATCTAATAATAGACTTCTTTCTTTGAACTAGAACCAACAAGAAGTTCGCTTCCTTTGTACCTATGAAGGTCGTCGAGAAAAACTGGAATTATGTTGCTATAAAATTGAAAGTACCTTGCTATAAAATTAAAAATAAAAAATAACTGAAATAAGCTTGGTATTTTGACTATGAATGGTTGAAAAACTAAAGGTACGTTGCTATAAAATTATTTAAAAAATAAAAATAAATAAATAAACGAAAATGCATTGCTATAAAATTCTGAAAAAAATACAATAGGCATGATATTTTGGTGTTACCACTAACGAAAATTTATGGTTTCGCCACTGGCTATGTTCCCTTTTTGGGGGTGAAGAAGGTTTCTTTGTTTTGGGTAAAAGATCAGACCCTAGATGGATCCCCAAGTTACGTTTAATTGTTCGGTTCTAAGACCAAACATTGATCCAATTTAAATTTCAAAATAACTATTTTTACGAATGCAAGAAAGAACAACATACTTTATTTTTAACCCCAACCGTCCTAGTACTTTTATTTTTAACCATGTAACATCTTGATATCGAGGTATTTTCATTTTAATAGCTAACTATGAGAATTTATTTCATATTAGACATTAGATGTGAATTAATTGTCATTTGACCCAAATGGCATTTTCATAGTTTATGGGAGTTAGGTAGGTACGTTGGGTGTTCCCCTAGGAATGTTGGGCGTAAGTGGCCAGAATGAAAACCCTAATTTTTAGGGTTTGGACCCTATTTAAGCATCTTTAAATCCCAAACCTACCTTCTTTCATCAACCTTCAACCCACCTTCTTCCCCAAACAAACCCTAATCCATTTTTAGAGCATTCTTGAGCATTTTGTGTGTGTTTTGGTAACCTTGAAGGAGAGAGGAATGAGAAAGGATCATCTTGGAGGGGTGGGACTCTTTAGATCTAGAATAGAAACATCATTTGGCGTCGTTTGGAGGTAAAAAGCTCTGAACTTGATTAAGAGTTGTTTAGATCTTGTTTAGTTATGAAATGATGCTATTTTGATCCCATAATCTTGGTAAAAAGTACCCAACTCTGTTGACCAAGTTTGACTTTTTGACTTTGATTAGGGTTTGACCAAGTATAAAATAAGGGTATTTTGAGTTGTATTTGAGATTGGTCACTATTTGATGAATAGATGACGGATAGAACTAATATTCGGTGCAGAGACCTATTCAATTATTTGTTTAGACTGAAAGGTGAGTTTTCCTTACTGTACTTGTGGATTGAAGGCACCAATGTCAACACATTACATTATGTATACTGGTATAAAGGATGTTGATATGTTATATTGATTAGTTAGATCGGTATCCTGGTATACAGGATGTAGCATGAGGTAGTGATTTGTAGATCTGCCTGTTTGTATGCTAATAAGTTATATGTTATTTGTTATGTATATGTCAACATAGTATGGTTGGGTTAAGGTGGTACTGCTCTGTGCGGTAGCCAACAAACCTAGGAGCAATGCCAGGCATGATCTGTGGGCCTGAAGGGCAAGCCAGACTTATGATGTGGGCTTAGGAGCAAGCCAGCTATGAGATGTGGGCCTGAAAGGAAATCAAGACTCATATTGTGGGCTCAGGGGTAATCCACTCTGTTAGCTATGGACATAATATATGTTGTTATATGTTTGTGTGTTAGTACTTTGGGGGAAATCACTAAGCTTTGGCTTACAGTTTTAGTTTATTGTTTCAGGTGCTTCAGATAACTATGTCAAGGTGAAGGCATGATCATGCACATCCTTCAGTTTTATGTTATTTAGATTTTGGGATACTCTGATTATCGAAATACACTTTTGAAATAGTGGTTTTGTAAACAATTATGGTTTTGGGTTGTTTAAGAAAAGTTAAAATTTATTGTGATTTTTGGGATGTTACAAGTTGGGACCAGAGCTAGATTTGAGAGAATTGGATGAACATTTGTGTGAATCCAGACTCAAACTAAAGAACTGAAAAGGTTTTAAAAATGGTTTTCAAAATTGTTTTCAAAAGTAACTAAGGAAGGATGCAACGTATATGATCAGCCAGAGCAAGAAAGTATACCCCAAGTTATCACACTATTATTTGATATGATGTTTATGATAGAACAACATGTTGGTGATAGGCTAGGGATCTTTAGGAATTGCATGATAGAATTGTCTGATGTGTGATGCCTGATAGCCTGGGGTTACTTCTTGTATAAAATTGACATCATTATTGTAGTTGCTTAGTGTATGCATCATAGTTTTACATAACTAAGATTTTATAGCATGAGAATGTTTGGTTTAGCCTTATTTCATGTTCCTTGTTTGGTTGTGGGCTTAAGGTAGAACCAAGTATTCAACTGTCTGTAGGATCCAGTGTTATGTATGATTAACATGTACGAGTGGTTGTAGGGTTGGTGGAAGTTTCATGGGTGAGTAAGTGTGTGTGAGAAGTTGTTCAGATGAGGCATGATTAGCTACTCTCTAGGGAGTGAGGATATGATGTATGTGTATCCTAGTTGTTGTATTTGTGTTGGTCGGTTGTGATGATCTTTGAGACAAATATGGGTAAGTGTGTAAGGTAGTATGGGCCCATACTACTAAAAGAACAAGACCCGTACGTGTAGAAAGGAAGTCACAAACCCCAAGGGTTTAGTCCTGTCTTGTGATTGTAGCAATGGGTATTGAGGCTTTTCTGATGTGCATTGGTTTAATTTCAGAATGGTGGAGAAGAAAGGATCAGGATTTGGAGCGGGTAGCCAGGATAGGCCAGGATCGACTGATGATCAGATTCGGGAGATAATGGCTACTGAGGTGGCTGCTTTTGTCTGTAGGTCTATGTTGTAGATGTTTGGGTCTATCAAGACTATTATGATTAATCTCTTTGACGATCAATATGTTGCTCTTTCCGATGTTGTTGTTGCTGCTGCTACTACGACTGTTTCTGATGCGAGGGTTCGAGGGGAGAGATCTTTTCAGTACCAGGACTTCGATAATTCGAAGCCCCAAAGTTTGATGGGTTCAATGACTCGATTGTGGTGATGAGGTGGTTGTATGATATGGAGGGTTGTTTCTTCACATGATCTTACCCCT